AATTATTTATCTCTGCTTACCCTAAGCGGAAAATGCTCATCTTCAAACTCCATCAAGGCATTGACCTAATCAACACATACACCAAGTTTGAACATTCTAGCTCAATTAGGAAGAGAGTTATCGTGCCCCAAAGTATCAACCAATCAAATTGCTTATCTCTGCTTACCCTAAGCGGAAAATGCTCATCTTCGAACTCCATCAAGGCATTGACCTAATAAACACATACACCAAGTTTGAACATTCTAGCTCAATTAAAAGTTATCGTGTCCCAAAGCATCAACCAATCAAATTGCTTATCTCTGCTTACCCTAAGCGGAAAATGCTCATCTTCGAACTCCATCAAGGCATTGACCTAATCAACACATACACCAAGTTTGAACATTCTAGCCCAATTAGGAAGAGAGTTATCGTGTCCCAAAGCATCAACCAATCAAATTGCTTATCTCTGCTTACCCTAAGCGGAAAATGCTCATCTTCGAACTCCATCAAGGCATTGACCTAATAAACACATACACCAAGTTTGAACATTCTAGCTCAATTAGGAAGAGAGTTATTGTGTCCCAAAAAGTGTGACGGACGGACAGACAGACAGACAGACAGACAGACAGACAGACAGACAGACAGACGGACGAACCCATTTTAATAGTCCCCTGCTTTCTTCGAAAGGCGGGGGACAAAAATTGAGCTGGCCTTATCATTTAGCAGTAACCATACATGTAGTCTTGATCTTCCAACAATATACTACATATGGAAATGAAATGGGATTTAAAGGATAATTGCATATTTTCTAAGAAAGACAAAACATAATTAATCTTCTATACATGAATATGTATCTATGGCTTATAATCTTATACAATCATATGAATCATTTCCGTAATTTAAAAAAAAATTACACAAAATTTTTTTTCTTATTTTATTCGCTTACTTTACTTGAAAATTGTATAAGGGGAGTGGTTGAATTCTGCCGGATAATGTCAAACAGATACGGTCAAACAGATATGTATAATTATGCCTGATTGACGGAGACATCCTGCATAAGTCATATTGTTCAAATACAAAATATGCTCCATGGCCAGAACAGTAGGAAATGAAATGAAATGAAATGGGGTTAAACATCCTACTGTTCTGCTCCGAACAGGGCTAATGAAGACGGGCATACCCCTAACAGTGTGCTATGAGGGAAATTTTGCCCAGACAGCGGCACTATGGCCTACTCTTATATCGAATTCCAACTGTCAACAGATCTTTTATGTGCACGCCAATGTGTACACGGGACCTCGGTTTTTCATCCCGTCCGAACGACTAGACAGCTGTCCTTGTCAGGCCCTTCCGTCCTGCATCACTGACAAGGGGAACCATGACGAAAAATCTGGATGAACTTTCTCAGCCAATGCATGGATCGAACACCCGACCTTCAGGCTAGAGAGCCAGCGTCTACCCACTTAGCCACCGTTATCCAGTAGAATGTTAAACCCCATTTCATTTCATTTCTACCCAATGGAATCTCAACTGACAATTTAATGAATTATGGGATGAAATCATATGCATTATGTAAAATTTAGATAAAGAGTGGGTCATTCTTGCAAGATTAGTTAAAAAATAGATAATGAAAAGGGAATATGCTGAAAATTTTATTCAAATTTGTTTTTGAAGATATAGCGTAGATCGTTCAATATCGTAGCAACGGTACTTGACAACCAAGACTTAACTTTGATTATCCATTTTATCGTTAAATACACTGTATGTAAATCTTACAAGTGTTTAACCCGTTAAGTGTGTAGGTCGTTATATAACGTCCTGGAAAACTGCCACTCACTGTGCGTAGGGTGTAATATAACGCCTTGGAGGTATTTTCCCCTACCTATTCTAAGAACATAGTACATAGTTCTTCGTCACTTCGTCAAATTAATTACACAATAGGGGGCTGTTAACGTTTTAAAAACGTCACGCTTAACAGGTTAATTCCATTTAAATCTCGGGGATCCAGCTGTCAGAGAGTTGATTATAGGCTTGTCATGTGAATAAATGTCAAATTAATCATTTATACAACATTTGAAACCAAAAAATAAAGATCTTCAACAGTCAGATTTAGCTTTTACATAAAGCATCTTTAGGCATGAAATGTAATCTAAATTATTAATTAGACATTTATTAACATAATCAACTCTTGATGCCATCTTTTATGTTGGATTTTAGTTGGATTTTAATACAATCTACTGTTCAATATCTGTTGATGATTAAAAGCAAAAATGGATAATCAAGACTATGTTAATTATCGTGATAACGCATACAATGACAATCGAGGCTACATTGATTTTAAAATAAGGTTTTCTCGGCTTAGAGTGAATGCAATTTGACTGAAATTTTCAGCAAATTCCCTTTACATCATCTAGTTTTTAACTTTGAGAACAGTTTTTAACTATTAAAGGGAGGTTGGATGGCTGAATGGTAAGCATGTGAGTGCTGTATCATAAAGTCTGTCATTGAGTCAACTGGCGTGGTTTCGAATCCCCGGTTGTACGTGACAAGGAGTAGGGTCGCCTGTCCAACCTCGTGGGTTTTCTCCGGGTCCTCCGGTTTCCTCCCACTTAAAGACCCCTACGCGCAACGAATTATGGAAAAAAAATTGAACCATATGTTAGTCCCGAAATGACCTAGTTTGTGTCAAGTGGACGTTAAACCCCATTTCTCTCTCTCTCTCTTTAACTATTATATTTATAGTGAAAACTGCCAGCTCTTTTTCTAATATTACAAAATGTATCTTTAATATGTGAGCTGCAAAAAAACCTGACTGTCTAAACACAGTGTGCATGCCATGAGTCAATTGAGAAACATGATAGACTTGTTTGTCAAGTGTCAAGAATGAAGTATAGTTGACAAGTTGACTGTTTAGAGAATACATATAACCTAGAATATAATTCATTAATAATAACATCACCATGACATTCAGCAAGGTGTGATAATAATAGAACTGATATATACAGCAAAAAACTTTAATATTAATCATTGTATCACATGTTGTATCATTATTCATTATCTTGCATGCAATAACGGAACAATTATACAACATGGATGACATTGATTTATTAATACCCATTTTAGTTACTACATGTCTGTTGATTGCATAAAATATTCAGAATTTTATTGATGACCACATACATACAGCCATCTATTATCTGTCGGGAAAATACCATGACAGTTGAAGAGATGGAAGAGGTGATAGGATTAAAGTAGCATTATTTTTATCAAATGATAAAAAAACAAACAAATACACCCAAGATCATCTATAAACTTATTGAGTCTCACAAACTTCCACATTTCTCAAATTGGTTAGTGAGAGAAAGAGATCCACTCGACACAAACTAGGTCATTCCGGGACTAACATGGTTCAATTTTATCTCAATAATTTGCTTGCTCGTAGAGGTCTTTAGCTGTGGGAGAAAACCGGAGGACCCGGACAAACCCCAGGAGGTTGGACAAGCGACCTTACTCAATGACAGACCATATGATACAACGGCAACGCACATACATTAGCCATTTGGCCAATCAACCCCCAACTTGGTTAGCTAACAAAATAACATTGTCATTATCTCGTGATGAAAAATCATGGTATTATTTAAAGCGAGAATTTCAAATTTTCTAAGAAAGTCAAAACATAACTATTTCTATGTCTTTTGCTCAATAGGTTATCAAATCACTATTATACGATCATGGGCATTATTTCCCACCCTTAAAAATGTATGACACAGGAAATAACAACACAATTACCTCCCCTGTTTTGCTATTGACAACATGGTGCAGCCATTTTCCAACGTTGGAATTTGAAGTTAAAAATGATATTTTTGCCAATTTCTCAGCTGGCAATAGCGAATTATAGGATTAATAGGATTATTCTTTAACAAGGTAGGACTGTTTATGGATACCATCTATTTTAATACATTTTAAAAATATAACTTGAAAATTTGCAATTTCCGCTTAAGAATATAACAAGAACCAGACAATTTCTACATTGATATTCATGCATATTCAATATTTTGCTTGATAAGTGCACATATTATTGTAACTTGAACAGATTCACTGTCACTTTAAGGCCCCTAAATGTTTCCATTACTAAAATACGAGACAAATTTTCACGTTTATCTGTATGTGGTCTATGATGAAATAACCTAATGACCCTACCTAGTACCTGTACAGGTACATGTACACACCTATATATCACCTATATATTACTATATTAAATGTTTTTGTTTCAAGTGGTAAACAGAGATAACCTATGACGGTCATAGTATGACCTGTTAAAAGGGTTTAATATAACCAAGCATTTCAATATTTTTCCTGTGTTATGTATATTCAAAAATAAATAGTTCTTTTCATTTTATTATAACAGAATATTATACATTGTAAATTGAGATCAGCAATAACATTAAAATCAATTTACAACTACACGGAATGAACAAGATGATGTGAATTCTTTAGGATAAATATCCAACCAACACAAACTGGGTCATTTCAGGACTAACACATTGTTCAATTCTATCTTAATAATTCGCCTACACATACAGCGAAGGGGTTCTTAGCTGTGGGATGAAACCGAAGGACACAGAGAAAACCCACAAGGTTAGACAGGCCATCCTACTGCTCATCAGGTACAAGCTGAGTTTCCGCATGCGTTTCCGTTGGTTACAATGAAACTGTCACATTACATTTGCGTTACACTGACATTTCGCACCACGGAAACCCTGCCAAAATGCACACATGGAGAACATGCCTTACACCATTTGTCCACCCAACCCCCCTTTGATGTATCACTGAGTCATAGTGTATCAAGGATGAAGTGATCTGAATGATATTTCTAATATCAACCCCCCTAGTAGGATATTACTACATGTGTTTGTTTGAAGTGTTAAAACAATGATAACCTTTGACCTGTTACAAAGGAAAGGTGGACATATAAACAATACATGTAAGTAGGTGGGTGGAGAGTGAAATAGATTTATTACCTTCATCAGCCATCTTTAAATATCTTCTTTCCTTCACAACTTATCTAAAACAATACTTTACTGAAAAGAAAACAATAAAAACATTTATCAGCAAAAAATACCTTTTTTTACTTAGTTAAAGATGTGATACCTGAAACCTAGAGTATTTGTTTTATAAACAGTATTACTTTTACTCAATACAGAAGAAAATTCAAGAAATAAAAGCAGTTATTATTAGCCATAGTAGTTGTATAACACTATTAGTGATAACAGAATATCAGTTTTGTAAACGTAAAATTTATTTACATCACGAACAAGAATATAAAACAGGAACATAAATACAACAGGAACATGAATTAAACAGAGAGAGAGAGAGAGAGAGAGAGAGAGAGAGATAAATGTGGTTTAACGTCCACTCGACACAAACTAGGTCATTTCGGGACTAACACATGGTTTAATTTTATTTCAATAATTTGCTAGCGCGTAGGGGTCTTAAGTAGTGGGAGGAAACCAGAGGACCCGGAGAAAACCCATGAGGTTGGACAGGCGACCCTACTCCTTGTCACGTACAACGGGGGAATCGAAACCCCGCCAGTTGACTCAATGACAGACCGTATGATACAGCACAGCGCGCACGTGCTAACCATTCGGCCATCCAACCCCCCTGAATTAAACAGGAACTAAATTACACCAGGAATATAAACAATAACATTAACACGGTACATTAATAGAAAACCATTCTGCTCCTCTTCCTAGGCAGCACGTTTGATATATTCGCTTAGTGTGTCCGCTTTGCCGAAGTATTCGCCCAACTGTAGAGCTCATTAGAAAATTACCATTCATATCGAGAAGTCAGGTGATTGTTTGAAGTCATGGTCGCTGCCATGTTTAATCATGTGACGTGAAAGGTGATGCAATCGACAGGGGAATCATCTCGTGTGTCCACTGATTTGGTCAAATGAATTTGGCGCCGATTGATTTGGCTGAATGTCTCCATCGCTTAAGGAATCGAGTCTGATACAACGCACACATGTTAACCATTCGGCCACTCATTCACCAACAAGGTTACGCAGGCGACCCTACATCGGATGACAGACCTTATGATCTAAAGTCACTTTGAGTACATTTTAGCGTAAATTGTGAAGTGAAAAATTAGGTAAAAGTCTGAAAGTTTCTAAATAATTCTGAGCGATTTGAACTGATTCCTAAAAGTAAGCCTAAGATACATGCAAACAATCTGATTAAAATACAGATCTATATTTCGTTTCGTTTTTTATACTTTCGATGGTCTACACTACATGAATATCTGACAAGTTATAGCGATAGGTCAAGTCAGGGGTCAAAAGACCGACTTATGACCCTATAGTATGACATCAGACATTTGATTAACCAATCAGCATTGATGTTACTAGTGGATTACCAACAGTTCCGTGAAAAACTGACCGTTTCATTAGCTTATCACTGACACAATTCAGAACACAAGTTAAATAACAACTCTTCCAGATCCAAGTGTAGTAAAGACAAGTAAAACGAAATTTTTAACTATAAAAACGAAACGAAATAGGATCTGTGTTTTAACCAGATTGACATTAAAATAGAATCCTTTATTATTTACTAATAAAATGGGGTTTATTGACTATTTAACATAGAGATAAAATCATTTATATAAATAAATTGAGTTTAACATTCTATTTTGCTGCACTAATTGGATTTCGGTCTAAAAAAAGACGGCCTATATGTACATGTATATACATAACCAGTCACTAAAATACGAAACATTCAACTCGTCCAAGTGAATAAAGCTGTTAGATGTACCCGAATCTACTACAATACATCAACTACCTGGCACCCATTTTATAACACACAGTACTCAGATATATAAATAATCATCACACAGAACTAAAATACAAAACGTTCTTTTCATCCAAGTGAATAAAGCTGTTGGATATACCTGAATCTACTACAATACATCAACTACCTGGCACCAGATAAAACCTTAGTTAGAATATATAAACAATCATCACACAGAACTTAGATAAAACTATCATAAAAAATATCTACCAGTCTGTTGGATCATTAGAAAACACAGGAAGGGACTTGATATAAGAGGCTAATTAATGGAGCCATGTGTTTATAGAAGAACTGGTTATTGCAGGCTGCCAGCAATAAATAATGCCATTAACAGCCATGAGTGCCAATCCATATTATTGTAATGTTCTCATAACCTGACCAAGCTTATTATTAATTCAACCAGTTAATTTACAACTCAATTCAGTGATATATCCGATAGAAATCAAATGAAATGGGGTTTAATGCACCAAACAGGTTAAATGAAATGAAATGAAATGGGGTTTAACGTCCTACTGTTCTGCTCCTATACTGGGCTAATGAAGACAGGCATACGCCATACAGTGTGCTATGAGGGAAATTTTGCCCGGGCAGCGGCACTACGGCCTACTCTTATATCGAATTCCAAGTGCCAAGGGATCTTTTACGTGCATTCCAATGTATACATGGGACCTCGGTTTTTCGTTTCATCCGAAGGACAAGACAGCTGTCCTTGTCAGGCCCTCCGTTCTGCACCACTGACAAGGGGAAACCACGTTGGAAAATCCAGATGAACTTTCTTGGCCAATGCAGGGATCGAACACCCGACCTCCAGGCTAGCGAGCCAGCGTCTTAACCACCTAGCCACTGCGGCTCCCCCAAACAGGCTAATGAAGAATGTTATAATGTATGTGCGAAAAACAGTGTGCTAAACGTATGAGTGAAACTTTTACCCAACACTGGGCCTACACTAGCTACGAGAGCATAACTAAAAACGCTGAGATATACTGATGTGCTTGTTTTTAGCTACGATTGGATGCCTTTAGTTACAAGTGGCAAACTTAATTTCTTTATTAATGCATGTACCATCTTAAAAATAAGTTAATTTTATACTATTAGTACTTATTACACATACGCAGTCCAATCTACTGAAACAACATTCATTTACATGTATCAGCAAATATTGACAATAAAGTAAATCAAGCGTTGTTTTTATCAAAATTGATTCAGACGTTCCTAATTACGGCGTATTACTACTGCGCAACTCTTAGTACTTTGATTGGCTATTGCACACGAGACCCCGCCTTTATGTGTTACAGACGTAAATTTAAAATGTCGGAAAAGGCAATCTACTGTCGCTTCGATTTAAAAAGAGGGAATTTGTACCCGTTTCAGGTAGGATTATATGCTTAATTGTAGTTGGGTGTGGCAGAAATATTATAAATAACAATAATCATAGTTGTTTTGATTAAAAATATTGTCAATTTTGTTTACAAATACCGGGTGCGAATCGCTCCCGCATGTGCTACGTTGAAGTTAATAGCATCATTTCTTATCTCGAAACACGGAGGGTTGAGAGATAAGGTTTGTTATCTAGGCCTACACTTATTTCGAATTCCAACTGTTCAAGGGTTCTTTTACATGCACGCCAATGTGTACACAGGACCTCATATTTTTCTTCCCATCCAAACGACTAGACAAAGTTCCTCGTCAGGCCCTCAGTCCTGCACCACAAACAAAAGGAAACCCTGCTGGAAAATCCTCAGGAACTTTCTCGGTCAATACCAGAAGCGAACACAAGACCTCCTGGTATAGTGAATCAGTGGATCCCTAAACGAAAGGTGGTTTAACGTCAAGCAGTAAATTGTAAACACCGGCATGTGGGGTTTTCTTTTTGCCTAAATTTGAACTCTTTAGCTCTACCATACCACCATGAATAAAATACAAATATATCATGAATTACTGATAACAGAATAACGTACATCACCTGTACTGGAAACCAAATGGCTTTATTAGTAAACATGAAATACATGTAGACAGGTATTTATATCAAAATACAGGTAGACAGATGCTAGATTTAATATAATCAATATTTCCTGTTGACAGGGTTGTAAACAATTTATAATTTACATTTAAATAGAGAGAGAGAGTGTTTAACGTCCACTCGACACAAATTAGGTCATTTTGGGACTAACACATGGTTCAAATTTATTTCAATAATTCAGTTAATAATATGTTAAAATACACATATCTTTGTAGGGAGATCCAGACAATATACATGGTAATGAGAATGGAAATATCTTTTCTTATAAAAAGATACAGCTGAATAATTTTCTATGCTCATTCTTAAATTTTTAATTATTATAACCAAGTGATGACCCTTTTTATTGCTAGTGGTTAAACATTGACAGTTGAAATTCAATGAAGAGGCAGAAATGCTGTTGTCCTGACAAATTTCGTGCATATGCCATCTTCGTTTGCTATTTGGTGTATTAACCTCAGGCCTGTGAAATGTACACCTCAGCAGACACAAGCAATATTCAATGTTTGTGTGGCTTCTCAATATAAATGAGAAATAGGCGATTGAATAATATAGTACAGTCGTTAATAAAGTCTGAGTATGGGCAGTTGGCTAGTCCATATTCACACAGCTTTGGTTCATGCAAAGGTTAGATGTATTTCCTAAATGATCGTCAAGTCATTGGAAACAGGCGTAGTTTAAGTATTGTTACTCATACAACTAGGAAGTCGTGCATTTAGATGACTATAAAAGAAATATGACAAAACCTTTATAGAAATTTTGAATCCACTGACGTACATATATAGAACAAGGTGATAACGTAGAAATTTTGAATGAACAATAGTGAGTAATAGCTGATGTAATATTATTGTGATGAATAGTTGAGATATCTATAATACAATAACCAATTGTTTCAAGTTTAATACAATCAAATTAAAATGAAATAAGTGTTTTATTTTTAACAGACAAACCGAACCTATGTGTATCGGGTTGTCAATTGAGAGAGAGGGAGAAATGGGGTTTAACGTCCACTCGACACAAACTAGGTCATTTCGGGACCAACATATGGTTTAATTTTATTTCAATAATTAGCTTGCGCGTAGGGGTCTTTAGCAGTGGGAGAAAACCCACGAGGTTGGACAGGTGACCCTACTCCTTGTCACGTACAACCGGGGATTCGAAACAACACCAGTCGACTCAATGACAGACTTTATGCTACCGCGCACGCACGCTA